ACCACTAAGCTGGGACTCCTTGTCCACTGATCCACCTCCCTCCACCCCAACAGAGATCTCTGCCTTTTCAGAAGCAGCTGCAGGGCCCAAAATGCAGGCAGTTATGCCTTAGGTGGGCCTGACTGTTGCAGGCTGCTTGGGAGTTGTAGGCGGTTTGGATGGCCCTCATAGACTGTCCCAAGACGCCTTCTCCTGCTGCACTGCAGTCATCCTTGGAGAGCCCCAACTGCCTTTCCTTTCCCTCTCCCACCACAACCTTCAAACCGCGTTTGTGATTCCAGCAGTTCCTGGTGGAGGCAGAAGCGCTTTGCAAAAGGATGAGTGAACAAATGGATGGGGAGAGGGAGGGGGGTTTAAAAAATCCCTGGGTGCTGCGTGCAATGGATGCACTTTAAAAAATTAACTGGCTGCTGGTGTGGGGGTGGGAAGGAGTGAGGGGGGACCAAACCTCCAAGCCCTTGATCCCATTTGCTAGTTACTGATACAATAAAATCTTCCTCTCCCAGCTGGAAATTGACACGTGGTCTCCATAGATTATTCACTAAATAATTGAAAGTTAGAACATGTCTAGTTAATCCCAAAGTCACCAGCTGCTCTTTTGCCACTGGTGAGGGCCTCTTGGGGCCTTTCCAGAAGCTCACCTAGACATGCTGTTCTTTGCTGGGCTCCATCCGACACGCAGTTCTGGAATTCAGGACTTTACAGTATTTCACGTGCGAATGAAGTCACAGCAATTGTTTCTCTTGTTCCACATTGTACCACTTTCCACCCACGTGACAGTCACATAATCAGCTGACTCAACCGGTTAATGAAGACTCAAGCCAGATGTGGACGTGGCTACTATAACCCACCCATCAGTCAGCCCAGCTCAGGCTTGCTGGGTCTCAGCCCATTTGGGTAAGCACTTCGGTCCAGCTCCACCTTTTAACGGGATCCTGTGTGCAGAATCTTATTTGGAAAAGAAGGTCTGTCACCCACTGACAGAAAGATGGCAAAACCCAACCACAGAAACTGGAATGCCCAAGAAGGAAATTATGGGTCTATTTCTCCCGAATCTGCATCATTTCCAAAGTTATCACCAGCTATTCATACCCAAATGTCTTTCCTGTGTGGAAGGCCTCCACATTCTCTGCTTGTCTAATATCGCAGCCAAGGATCTTCAGAAGAGCTTCTTCTCCCCGCATTCACACTTCCTAGCACAGCTATCCAGATGTAACACACTACAACCCTTTATGTTGTCTGGTGGTTGGAGTTGGAGGAGCTCAATGGACTGGAAGAGTGCCTGGCACTCTTGGCCTCCAGGGATGGTTTAGCTTGGGCAAGTAGAGAGTCTGCTTGTAGTTGTGACTCCAGGTTGGAGTCTGGGCCCAGGAGAATGTCTATGTCGCATTCAGGCTCCAATGCAAGTGTGGCTGAACTTGCACTGGTCAACTTTTCACCACTTTACACTGAGGAGAGGAGAGGAGACACTGTTTGCTCTTCTCATTTGGTGTCCACAGGGTTCCACCATCCAGCTAAGTCCCTCTCAGCATGAAACTTTTAAAAAATCTCTTTTGAAGCAATGAGCATGAAACTGAGCAAACTCAGGGAGGCAGTGAAGGACAGGAAGGCCTGG